TCTATTGCGTTTCTATATGTTTTGATTCCTTGGCTTTACTCAGTCTCTGTACAGTTCAGAGTAATATGTACTGTTTAAAAGGTGTTTAGATATAATAAATTAGTCATTTAAAAGTTTAATTAAATGTAACCATATTTCTCATAGCAAATTGGCTTTTGTAGGCATCTTGCTAAATAAATCGAATCTACTAAGAAATCCATTGACCTTTGACAGATAAATTTTTCAAAGTTTCTAACTTAGAATCAAATTCAATTAAAACAGAACTTTACCACTTCTGTGTAAACCAGCCTACTACAACCAATGAATTTTGGGGAGTTTCTGTTTAGAATAACCCTCGTGATATTTTTTTAAAACTGAGCTCTAGGCAGCCGTAGGAGGGGCGATAGGAGTTAGTTCCAATGAATTTTTAAGTGAGTTTTATCTTGGTGAGAGGTTTTTATTGGCAGTAGCATAAAGCTGTAGTGTGTGTGTGTGTGTGTGTGTGTGTGTGTGTGTGTGTTCTGTTTGTGCAAAAGGAATAGCTAGGGAAAGACATGGCTTCATGTGATAAACAAAAGAATATCCACCTGAGCCCATATCCCAGCTCTGCCACTTACTTGCTGGCATCGCCTTTAAAAGGGGAATAACAAAAATGAGTCCTGTATTGCCGTTGTGTAACCTATCAAGTGCGGAGGAGCGCATGCTTGTGCTTCAGGCTGAGCAGAGTGGGTTCACTCGGACTGTAAACTTTGCTTCCCCTAGGGCATTCTCCTCAGAGGACCACTCCAGTGCCCGGAAAATAGGATCTTTTCCCTTTTCATGGCTACTGGGGGCTTCAGGGATGGGTAGCAGTTCTCCTGTGCTTGTTTTGATGTGAGCTTAAAGAGGGGTATCCAGACTGACCCCAGCAGAGCTTTCTAGATGGGCTCTTTCATGATTTTACTATCTCTTTGTTCCTCCAAGAACCTACACTCCAGAAAAGCATACCCATAACATGTATGCTACCCGCTGAGCAGAGCCCCAAAGCCATCCTGCCTTCGAGCTATGCAATTCCCATTCCATAACCTAATATCAAGCACACAAGTCTCCTTAGCTTGCCAAAAAAAGAAAAGAAAAATAAATTTCAAGCTCATTGCAGACATCCATCAACATGGCATGTGAGCAGCATAATATCTAGAGAAAAACGAGGCAAACCTCACTTAATAAAATTATAAGCATATGGTGAGTTTCCTAGGCAAGTTATTTATAGCCTTGATTAACCTTGTAGCATTACTGCCACTTGCACTAGTTTTACACAAAGATGTAAAAATATTGTCTTTACCTTTTAACATAGCGGGATTATCTTAGCACATGCTCTCTTCTTTAGCCTTCACTTCTCTCCCTCACTCTAACATTTCTAGCAGCTTGATCATAGAAAAACAAAGCTGCTTGTGCTTGGTGCTGTTAATTTTGAGCGCTGTGTCCTGGCACTGCATAGCAACAGCGCCACCAAAAGGATGAGGTCCCACATGCCTAGGATCTGTTCCGTTTCTCTGCTCAGGAACTTATCTGCGTTTTGCATGATGATTCCTGCCCACTGTGTGTTCAAAATGTACAATTTAGTGACATTTGGGTGCCTTGCAGTTAATAGACCTTAATTTCTTCTGATCTACAAATTCTTTAACTTCTCAGCATTTTTTAGGTGTAATGAGCTTTCTTTAAACCCCCTAAACTAAAAGGGTAAGTAGTTGATTGCACCAAGCTGTAGATAAATCAGATGAGCAAATGTACTTGTACAACTGTAGAAATGATGCACAAAAAGTGGTATCAGAGTCACTGTAATGTCTGTATTGTCAAGGAAAATGTATTGAAATGTATGAGTTGTTCTGTGTTTGCAAATCAGAAAGTCGCCCCATGAAGTAAACTTTCCTTATTCTTAGAGTACTGTCAGTTATAGCCTATGTTTGTCTCAAATTTAGCAGGGTGGCAAAACTTGTTTTCTTTAATTTTAACTATATAGTAATATGGCATGAGAATTAAATCAATGAGTCTAATTTACAATAAGGAGGTAGCCTTACATATTTTAAATAAATGTGTTTCAGGATCACTTTTTTTTCCTGCCATAAACTGAAAGGATTTTGCCACATTTGTTATTTAGAATATTTGTGCTTAACATTCTACATGAACTCCCAGGCTGGAATAAGCACTGCTAAGTGATGGGGAGAGGGTTAGATGTGGAACCTGACGGAGTTCACACTCCGGCTCCACTGTCCCCTGGCGGGCAGGATCTTGGGTTAGTACCATTGGGTTAGTACCATTGTCTGAATGTCCTCTTCTGTTATATGGAATTGTTAATTCTGCCTATTGCATAGAATTACTGTGAGGATCAAGTGAGATCGTATTTATCAAGAATTAGCATTGAGAGGGACTAATCACTGCTCTTCCGTTATTTGTTATTCAGGTATTTGTAGATACTGGTTGCTGTCTCTTTGTATCTGCTTATGGTATTCTCTAGATATAGCTGAATTCCAAAATCAAAAATTATTTTGTTTTCCTTTATTGAGACTTTTACTGGATGTTACCTACCTAAAAATGTACTTGCTGTTATATGTACAGAAATATACAGCGGAGGGGGAAAGTATCTTTTCCTCACCCATCCTGTCTTCCTAGCTGAGGGCCCTTATAGCAAAAGGCAAATTAATACGAAAAAAAAAAAGTACAAATTGATTTAATGTAAGTCTTACATAACACAAAAACCTCTGAGTTAAGGCCCAAAGAAATGGCTAAACATGTATTTTTATGCCAGGTTTGACAAGTAGAATGTCGTGGAGAAATATTGCACAAACTGAGAGAAACATCGCAAGCCATTTTGTTTATTTTCTTCTCTGTAACACTTTGTTTTCAGAAATAAGGATGTTCTTTCTTCTGGATATAGGGAGAGTATCTCTCACATGAAGGTCTTAGGACCTGCTTCAGGAAAAGATCAGGAAATCTTTCCTGTGTTTTATGACCTGCTTCAAGAAAGCAGAAAAAAAAAAAGGTGACAGTGGCCTTCCTGCTTCTGTGGTTTTCTCAAATGTTAAGGTGCCATATTTGGGGGTAGTATGTCCTGTACCCCACCAGTGTTCATTTGGGTGGGGACAGCTGGCTTCAGAAAACCAGTCATTCACCTTTCTACATATATATGCCTGCAGTTCTTACTACTGTGAAAAATTTCTATTTGTTATTTTCGTTTTCTAACACTTAAATATCACTATGAATGTGAATTTTTATTGATTGTGGTTTTCTAACTACTGTATCACTGAATCTGTTTTATATAAACACGAGCAAAGACAGGAAGGGATCTGTCTATATAGTATAAAGTGAGAGCTGAGTCGCAGACAAGATGAGTATCTCCCAAGGGATGGAGTAAGTCATTTTGAATAAGGGGTTGGGATGAGTAGAAGTAGAATTAGTAGCGTAAAATTAAGAAATGGACATTTGGCTGAATATCAAGACTATGATACTTAGAAAGTTATGGAAATGCCTCTGAAAATAAATAGAATCCCATGCACTGGGGGCCTGAGTACAGCTGAAATGTGGAACGCATACCAATGAATTTATTATCAGGAGTATTTCTATGCCAGTGTGAGTTGGTACAAAGAACGGTTGTGGCCCTCTGCTTGCTAATTTCTTTTTTGCCGTGAAATAATAAAGCCTAAATCACAGAACTAAATTTCACTTGCAAATTGCTGGAAGTCTTATTTCTCTAGCGAGATCAAATAAGTCTTATGACATATTTTTCCTTCCACTGTTCTCCAAGCTGTTGTTCCTTATTACTGAAATGGTAATGCATTGATATTGGTTCAATTACCAAAGTATCTGAGGGCATTTAAATTCACAGTGCATCCCAGGTAGTCGGGCTAAGTGACTGTGATTATCAGACAGGGTGTTTGGTTTAAATTAAAGGAACTCTTCCAAGAGATTATTTATAGAAGACAGTTTACTCTTAAGAATTCCCATCACCTATGTCATTAATATTTTAAGACCCATTAAAATAAGGAATATGTGGAGTAGAAAAAATCCAGGTTCTTTATACACAAGCGTCGCAGCCATACTATCTTCCTTAGTTGGGTTCAGCACTGCGGGACCACATTATTGTGGATGAGGAGGCTTTAACACCAACCCCTTTGCGTAAGGAAACATTTTGAGTGCAATTCAAAAATGTGTACCAAATTACAACTTGTAATGAAATGAGAATGTTAAAAATGCGATTTTTATATTAAAATTACATTGTTGTTAACCACAGAAGAAAAATCCTTAAATGTTCAAAAGAAAATCTGTAACAGATACAGTGGATTTTTTTTTTTTCCTTTATGGAATAAAAGAGATCAAGTTCCATTAGAGGCAAGTACTTCAGGCTACCTAGGAGGTAGTTTTTTGGCTGTGCTATAAAGCAGTAATTTTAAAGGTTTCTTGTTAAGGAAAAATTTGAGATTTCACCTTTTGGTTAGGCATGAGCGTCACTTTTCTCAGCTCACTCATCAGTGCCTACCGTTGTATTATACGCTTGGGAAATTACCACCTCGGCCTAAATTTGCATGTGTAATTCTCGTTCGTGGTAATGACATCCTTGCAAGCGCGCTAACATTGAGACAAAACAGATGTCTGTATTCCTAGGCCTCTAGCCCGTTGCTCAGGCTTTCCATGGGGCACCTGTGCCTCGTGCCACCTTGTTTTGTTTTGCTCTGTCTGGACATATCCACCAGTGTTAACAGCATAAAAACTACACCAGGGGGAGGATTCGGACAGACACATTTTAATTACATTGTGGATGCTACTGAGTCCAGTCACTGGCAACTAAGAGAACTTACGCACTGTGATTTATAGTGTGTCTGCTGTTGGTGCAATCTCCCAAACACATTCGCCTCTGATGCAAGTAAACCCAGCCCCTTATTGTGGACTGTATATCGGAAAAAATCACAATACTGAGAAAGTGTGTGAAAATACATATAAAGAGCACCGTGCTGATTCATGCCTCACAAATGGTTTCTCTTTTGCAGCCTGTCAACCAGGGTCGTCACTATCAGAAAGAAATGAATCCACCTTCTCCTTCTAACCCCCGGTAAGAATTACCAGTAATCTAAGTAGCCTTTTTTTAAAAAAAAAAAAAAAGACTACTTAGAAAATTGTGGTTTTCTTTGATTTCATGAAATTGCTTTCCAGAACTTCTGAGGAACTTCCAAAATTCTTTTGTTTTAAGGTCCTGCTTCATCTACTTTTCTTATTAAAACTGTGGAGTAGTGATAACATCTATGCAGATTTAGCTACCTCACTGTGGGACTGAGCAAGTCAGTTAAGTAGACGTACTTCGGGCATAATGACTACCTCGTAGTATTAGAAGCTCAAATGGGCTAACGCATGAAAGACTCTTAGTACAATCTTATACAGAGTGAGTTCTTTTTAAGTACTGTTCTATTCTTTATTGTTTTATATGCATAAATATTTTAATCGGTACTTGGTTGATATATTTTAGGCATAAATTTTATATATATTTATATATATAATTTAAATTTTTCAAGATAGTTCAAGTGGCCATTCTCTTTTTCATAAATTCAAAAGTGTATAATCTCAAAATTATTCTATTTAAAAATACCACTGGTGTCTTTATTATTTGTCAGTACAGAAAAACTTCATAATTTTAGGCTGAGTAGAAACAAGCAAGTCTAAGTTGAGCTTTTAAATAAATACACTGTTATATGGCTTTCTGGTAGTTACGTAAGCTAGTTTTCCTTATAAATCAAATCACTTTATCATTATTCATTATATACCAGGAATTTATTGAAAAGTCAGTTTATCCTGCATTCCGTTCCCAGATTCTTAGTTACTGGAACTCATCTCATTATTCAAATATATCTTACTAGCAAGCTCTTGAAGCTGTCCTGTGGGTAGTCCCACCTAATGCAAGGATATCATTGTAGCTGTGGCTCTACTGTCTGAATGAAGATTCCTTGGTTACATATAACGAAAACAACTTGGCTCATATTGAGAAAGAAGACACACAGGGAAAGAAAAAGGCAGAAAGAATTTGCTAAATAAAAACACAGGGCTGAATCCCAAACCAGAGGACAACCAGGCCTCAGGAAGGGGCTTGGAACTAGAAACAAAAAAAGCCAGCAGACAACCAGGCTGGATCCTTGATCTCTCTCTGCTTGTGTCTTCCTTCTGTTCCACTCTTTTCTCCAAGTTCTAGCTTTCTCTGCTTCTCAGTCCACAAATGGCTGACAGTTCTGGAGTTTACATACTACAGTTCAAGGTACATGCTGAGACTGACGGATTATGTCTGATTCCAGTTTTTACTTTCCAAGAGAAAGAACGTGAACGGCCTAGGTTGGACCAGGTATCCACTTCTGGTCCAGTCAGCAATGAGCAGAGCACCAAGCCATGGAAAACTAACATGGCTCCCGAGAGACCATCAACATTGCTTGTAGAACCTTTATTGGGGCCAAGAATATTCACGATATAGGTAGGGTTAACAGATTGTTTATTAGTAGTCTTCTAAGTATTTCTGCTCTGTGTTCTTTTTTTTTTTTGGTTTTTCTCTGGTACCGGGAACCGAACTCATGACCTTGCGCTTGCCAGGCAGGCGCTTTGCCGTTGAGCTAAATCCCCAGCCCTTCTGCTCTGTGTTCTTGATCTGATCACTCTTTCATGTTACCTAGTAAGGGGAATTGTCAGTATCAAATGGATATAATAAGCAGTTTAAAATAGAGACTGGAATTTCAGTATATATATATATATATAAGGTATGTTAACATTCTTAAAATCACACGTCTTGGTAGGCAAACATGTCACTTACAACCTTGCTGTTTATATAGATTTGCCTACTTAAATTTTCCCATATATGAGTAGGTTCTCAGGGTAACTGGAACTGTAACTTTTGTCCAAATAATAACAAATTCAGAATTTGTAATCCGAACAAATGAAAGTAATAGTAAAATCTGTTAGAAATTGGAAACTTTGTTCCAAAAAAAGGAGAAAAAGGCCCGTAATCCTCATTCTAACCCTGCCGCCAACGTAGTTATATCATCTCAACCTCTCCATATATCATTTAATAATAAAACAGCTCATGCTTAAAAGAAAGAATTGGGGTTATATGCTAAGATCAATTCCAATATTATGATTCTTTTGAGACTCCTTATAGACTTGATTCAGGAAAACCAGTCCCAATGGGTCACACTGCTTATTTTTCTTTTATCAAGCTGTATAGAAAACATTCTTCAGAAAAATTAGATGGGTAAATGAATGAATGAATGAATGAATGAATGAATGAATGAATGAATATTTGGAAGTGGTAGAATGAGAATTTAAATATCTCTGCTATGAATTAATTCCCAAAGACAGACTGTCAAAAAGCTCTGGCTGACATATAAGAATATATGAAAATTCACCAGTAGAACAGACAGTTTACCTTATGTAGCCAATTAAATATCCACTCACTTAGGGAAAAGTAATTCAACAGAATGAAATAAAGAGAAGAAATTCTAATGCAGAAAAGTTAAATGCCATCAACCCAGTTTGTGGGTTTGTTAGCCAGTTTCCTAGAAAGTAATTATATAATATTATATAACTCTTCAGAAAATTTACATATTATGAGGCTTGGCTCTTGGTTCATAAACTTAGCCGCTTGGAGAGTTGACAGAAAGGCATTATTTGGCCATAAATAAAAAGATTATAAAATGTAGAGATTAGCATATTCCATATGAAATGGGATAAACACAATCGTATAATACAGTGGTGGCGAACCTACGACACACATGCGACGGCCAGCTATTTGTTACCATGGAAAGCTGTACATGGCTCGCCATCACTGCTGTAGTATATGTAATTTAGCTTAAAATCAAAAGCTATGATTCTTAAGATTTTTATTTATTAATTTCTTATAAATAATGTTCCATGTTTTATATCTCTAAATAAAGAGCTTTAAAATAAAACTTTATACTGATAATAGAAGAAGAATGTAATGAAAAAGTAAGTCTCTAAATATACTGTCTTGGATAAACAGGCATCTAACCTGAACCCTGACTGGAAAGCTCTCCGCGTGCTGATTCAGAGCAGTACATAAAACGAAGGTGTTAGGTGTGGTTGAGATTAGAGTGGTAGACAAGGTGTATACATGCACGTCGACTAAGAGAACGGCATACCAGGGCCCCCTCGGAAGGACAGTGGCCCTAGCGATTCAGAGAAATATCTGTAACTGCTCCAGAGACCTGAGAACCTAAAACTTCCACATTACATATACTCCGGTGCACATATATACAGATACAGAGAATCAACTTTCAATCCGCTTCATTAATGTAACAGAATATCAGTATCCCCAGTCTTTCATTTCATTTGCATTTTGTTCTGGATTTCCATTTCTGCATCGTAGCTACCTTCTTCATTTTGTGTGTCCAGGATTAAAATGGATGATCATACACAATGCACAAAGCAGGCAAATTTGGATTCTGAAGAGTTAGCGGTACGTTGAAAATAGCTAAACACCGCATATATTCATTTATTGTTTTCTTCACAGGAAAATCATTCACTTATACTTGCAGGGTAGTGCTTGACATTGGATCAGGGTGCGATGCACTGGTAATCATTTCCCTGAGAAGATTACAGTCTAGGGGTGGAAATATATATGGTTCCCCTCATCACATGCCCCGGCGTGTCTAGGTTTGCAACAAAGCCATCTCCCCAAGCACTGTTAGGCAGGGAGTGGTATTTCCCATTATTTCCTCCTAACACACTGGCTGATATTTAGGCAGCATCTCACGCTGGGGCCCTTGCTTTCCGCATCCAGCAGTGCTGCCTCTTGGGGCACTGACAGCCGGTAGGACAAGGTGCAAAAGCAGCTAACGTAATCTAATACAATTTAGAGGACTCTGGGGTAGGAGGAAACAATTTCACAGTTCATTCATGTTGAGAAATGTTTCCTCGCATGTAAACTTGCATGCTGCCAAACAAAGCAAAATGAATGTCGTTTGCAGCCTCAGGTCATTTATTTTAAAATGCCATCTATTGGTTTGTGGGTTTAGAGCTGTCCCTTAAGCATGTCTATTTCTATGTTTATGTAGATTCTTCAGAACAGCACAAAATAGTTTTGCTCAGGAATGAACTTTGTGCATTAAGCTGTGATTACGTTCTGGTTGTCTGTTCATACTGATGGAATCGGTAACCAGTCTTTCATTTCAAATGATGATTACACTTCTATTTTACAACTCATTGAAAAATTAGGGCGAGGCGGGAATACAGTCAAAGGCTTTGTAAGGTTCTAAATGTTTATGGGAATAAGTAATATAGAAAATAACTCTAGAATTCCCAAGCAGTAGCAAATAGCATGATTTCTAAAGTGTTTCCTTTATGGTTTATCGCTTATCTGTAGTATTTTAAAATGTCATTGCAGATTGTGTTAGGGCCTGAATCCTTTGTAGCTTTGCCACATGTTAGTGTTATATAAACATACTAAAAGCTGTAATTATCTGATAAAGTCCTGCAGACTCTGACAAATGATTAATAACCAGCAGCCTTGGTTCCCGCTGGCTCAGCCAGCCTGACTGAGGCAAGCCAGCCTGTCATCATAACCTGTACACACTACTCCGGACGGATCACACAGTGGCTTCATTTTTCTTCTCTCTCCCATTGTCAGGAGTCAACCTAATGGGCTTCTCTTCTATTGCTTAAGTTTCTTTTTTTTCCCAACACAAGAGATGATGCACAAGTAAAATTCAATACAAAACTTGGATTTAATGTTCCTTTTGAAATGATTAAGTTTGGATCATTTTAAACCAAGTTGGGTTTTTAACGTATTCCTCCTTTAAACAAAGACAGGACAAAAGTTTCCTTGTTAACTGAGCAGACATCTCATTCCCCTCATGCAGTGAGGGCCCAGATTCTCCACGTTTAGAGCTGCACGTCTCGTTCAGAGGCTGCAGACCTGCCGCGGTACTCCCCGAGTCCTCAGGGAGCAGGCTCACCGTCTCGCGTGTCCTCCTCCTGCCCCTTCCAGGCTGTGTGAGGTGACAGCTTCCACTGCTGCCATCCTGCCATGATGTTCAGGCCCAGAGCATGGAGCCAGGCATG